CTACTTTCTATAGACTTACCTTAGGCTAAAGCAACAGCTACTAGAAAAAAAAAGACCGCCTAGGGCAACTGTTCTTCTATAAGTCTAGTCAGTACTATGATTGCAATCTTATTGGGATTTCGGCATTTAAGAGTTTTCTTTAGAATGAGTACCTTTTGTTTTGTTAATATCACATTTCTTACACTCAAAATTTAAATAGTCTCTTTTGAATCCATTATTCCTTTAATGCAAAATGTTAAAAGAATGGAAATTTCTTACAAGATAAGAAAATAAGCCAACACCTTGAAAAAAGCAGTAACTTTTCTACAGTACCTAGATTCTGTTTTAATTATGCCCTGGCATACTGTTTTATGAATAACACTTATTAGATGGCTTGATATTTCAAATTAATTTGTTCTCAGAACTTTGAATTTAAATTTACTGCTACTACTACGTATCCTTCTTTAGGAAGACACAATTTGCATATGTCTACCACCCAGAAAACACGATACACTGCAGTCTGAGGCATAAAATTTTGCTTAGATACCACTTTTATTTACAATACTTGTTAAAACTAAAGTTTTGTTTTGGTTTGCCCCTCCCCTGGACATGAATCCTTTTTTGTTATAAGAATCTGTAAAACTGACAATATTTTTGTTCCTAAATCTTTCTTTTAGATCTTATTAAATATTTCATTTCTTGACAGATTTTGCAATTATTTGTTATATATATTTTTTTAAAAAATCTATATTTTATTAAGTTACTCTTCAACCAGCTCTAGAAACCAATGACAGAAGACAAAAATTATATAGTCTTTCCAAAATTGATAGTTTACTTGAGGATGTGTAATAAAAAAAAAAAATCAGCTATTTTATCTACTCAAAATCCATGAAAAAGCAAGCACAGATCCTTCAGAGAGAGATGACACAAATACTTTCTCACTGACACTTTAAAAAGTGGAGATCATACTTTGGTTAGATTAGAAATAAGAACATTGAAAAGAATAGAAACAGAGAGGGCTGTATTTCCTTTCTCATTTTCTCTTATCTCCCTGCAAATACCTAATGACTTTTTTGAAGTGGCAAGCTGACTGCATAGTTTAATAAATTTTTATGTGTAAAATGGAAGTGTTAAATTCTGTTAAATTATCTGCAGCTGAGGAGGACTTGCAGATTTATTTTTTTCTCCTAGTTTGATTTCTTACTTTGACACTGTGAAGTCCATAGAGACTCACCTCTGTCACCTGGAGCCTAATCCTAGCGATGCATGCATTTCTTGCTGTTAAACATCCCCAAGTATCAAGATTAAATGCTTCTCACAGTCTATATTCCCTTTCTAGTTCTAAGAAGTTTCTTTGGATGTCAAGCAAATATTTTGACTGTATATGTTCCTTGCACTTTGAGGTTGTGTTCTGCCTCCCAGAATGCAGAAAGTTAATACGAAGAGTGCCTTTGTAATCATTAATTTAACATTGAAAATTTCCTTGAGGAAATTGATTGCATCCCTTATTGCTATGATCTGAAGAAGGAATTTGTCTTGCCTGTCTTGTACTGGAAACTTGCTTCCTTTGCATAATGTTGAATTCTGCAGGAAAAAAATCACAGCTGCCTCTGTTTAAAAATGCTCAACGTAGTATGAAATGCTCACAAACTCAAAGGTGAAATTAAACGAAGTTTTAATGCTTACAGCATTTTTCTTTAGGGAGTAGAAGTCCTGTGTCAGAATCTCTCCTCCAAACAGGAAAGAGATGAGGGACTTCAAAATGATCTGCCTCACCTTTCAAGTCATCATCCTAAGCACAGGATAGTGGGTTAAATACAGTACTAGGAAATTGTATTTTGTTGTTATGTGCTAAATAGACGACCATGCTTAAGGACCTTCTTCACGGATAAGAAGTGAGGCCAGGCTGAGTCCTCTGAGTTTCTAAGCAGACCAAAGTCTCAGTCCTTGAAGACAGTCTTAGACAATTCTGTATTCAAATTGTTGGCTTCTGTAAGTTTTCTATGTAGAAACCTGAAAATCTCCTTCAGGGCTGCAGATATTATTAAGTGTTAAAGCATCTAAAATGACTGAGTCACTTCTATTTCGTAGCTACACTTTAATCTTATGAGTCACAACTGATTAATTATAACCCATAAATTTGAAGTATAGTTTGTCATTACTGCATTTCATCATGTCTAATTGTTGTGGTAAAGGCACCCACCTTGGTTCTTCCCAGGAGAAATCTGTAGCCAGAAACACTCAAATGCCCTTTTAAAGATGCTTATGACGGTGTATTGTGGTTATAATTTCATTGTGCCTTCCCTAAACAAAATAAAAGAATATCTGCCTCTTTTGAGCAAGATTACACCACTCACTATAATTACACTATAATGTTTGTAAGCCCTGTTTGGTAAAGCTACATTGAATTTGAAGAACCTACTAATTAAGTTGTTGCTGTCTTTTGTTTATTGGTGATTTTTTTTTTTTATTTGACTACTTGAAAAGTGAGATACAGAGTAACTGCAAAAATGTCCACTGAATCCTTTGCTCATTTTCTTCTTGTTTCCTTTAAACACAATATATTTAAGGAGATTTCCAAAGAGGACATTTGGAACAAAAATACCCATAAACTATAAACTATGGAATAACAACAAAATTGATAACAATCAATACACCAAATCAGTACAATTTGTTCCTTGTGAATCCAAAACATACTTTTTCTCTCCAGGTAAATACAGCAATTCTAAGTCAAAACTGGGTGAAACAGGAAAACTGATGAATATTTACCTATAGATAAGAGCAGTCTCTTGTCACATCAGGTAAAGTTGAATTAATAGTGATCTTTCCAGTGTAAATTGCTACCCATGTAACTACCAGTTAGAAACTTAATGTTATTCAGTGACCTGAAAACAACTATGGGTATGAAATCTACTTCATAGTCTAACACCATGAATCTCAGGAGAGAAAAACATTTTTAACAAAATTTCAGAATAATTTTACATAATCAAGATTACAACATCTTCCTCTGGGGACTGAAAATTCTATGAATTAACTAACTTATTTATAAGAGTTCATTCTGAACTTTCCCCTTAAAATAACTAAGTATAAGTAACTTGAATTTTTTTTCTTTGTTTTCTTGTATGCTAATTCAGAGAATCTGTAATACTTCAACACCCTTCTTTGAACTCTTTCCACACACTTGCCATTGAGCAATTATGCTATAAAAACCTGTGAAGGGTGGTGACTCACCACTTTCAAATTTCAGGCACATAGTAAAATGTTCACCTCCTGCACAGTGAGGGTGGCTATGCTCCCTGCAAGCAAAACTACTTAAAAAAAAAACTCATGGAGGATAAAACAACTCCATCAGAAGCATATGCTGCAAAGATAGCTCAGCTTACATACAAGATGCCTCACACATTATTCCAAGACGCCTGTAGCATTTCTATTAGTTGTTACAGAGAAAGGTAAGTCTCCTACAAAGATCCAAACTTTTGTTTATTTATTTTATTTTTTCCCCATGCTTTCATTAAAAAACAAACAAACAAAAAAACCCCAAACCAAACCCAGCCACTATCACAGTGACTATATATTCCAGATGTTATATGAATGTGTGATTAGTTTAGGACCCATTTTTCCATCACTTATATTGTACACATCATAATGGAAAACTGAAAATTATTTTTTTGTTATATGTTTTTAGAAAGTAAAAAACATACATCTCACCCCTTGCATGTTCAGTTATAGGACTATGCCGATACCAAAGAGATCTATTTGTATGTTTTGGTATGTCTCCTATGCAGATAAAAATGTTAATTCAGATTTTTCTTCTGACTTTGCCTGTAGGTTACAATATGTTTTCCATTCAACTGGATCTTCACTTACTTAAGACTCAATTTAATTGACTAAAATTAATTTTTAATAGTTCATGTGAGTTTCAAAAAGTCTAAAAGGTTCACAAGAATGAAAACTGCCCAGAGTGTTTTGAATGTTTATAGATTTTTCTTCACAAAATATGTCATTGTCAATGAGTAGTATTGTATAGCTCTTTTTGTTTAAACCTAAATATGTGTCAGTACACCTTATGCCTGTGATAATCTTTTATTTCTATGAAAGAAGTAATTTCAGATACAAAGCTTAGGACCAAGAAATCTAAATATTTCAGGATGGATGCAATATAATAAATATAATATAATAAATTATTTTATTTTACATATTAAAAAATATAAGCAAGTATTGTCTGGATCAGTTCAGAGGCAGAACACAAAAATGCAATAAAATTATTTCAGACAACAATTAATTAAATCTTATGATATTCCAAGCCAACTTCAAATTCAAAGATTTGATTAATTCAAAGTTAAAAACAATCCAAATGAAAGGTTATGGATATCATGTGTTCCACCTTTAAAATATATGAATAATAGGAACTTTAACTTCAGATATATTTTTTTCCCTCTTGGCTATCATCAAATTATTCCATTTCATGATGTACAAATAACTAAACCATCCAAATTAACAGCTGAAACCTTATTTATAACAAAGACACTAATAAACAATCTTCTGACTTCTTTATTCTTAATATACTTTTTGGAGTATCTGTATAGGAGCTTCATTTTCAGTAGAACTCAGTACAGATCATTCTGCTGCACAGTGAGCACTTGCAAATCTGACCTCTTAATTTGGCTCATAAGTGAAAGCTGAATTGTTTTGAAAATCTGGTCCTTATGGCCCAAATTCTTCAGGTCCTTGTCTAGTATCAACTCAAGAAAAAGCCCACATCAAGCTGTGACTTGAATTTACCACAGGAGAATCAGAATTAGGAATCACTAAGACAAATATTTTTGTTTAATTATATTAAATTAGTAGATAGGATGTGAATTCCCTCAGGATTACAATAGGCTCGCAGTTTATGTACTTTTTTTTAAAAAAACACATTGAATCCACCTTTCCTTACTTAATGTAACTAAAGAGCAAAAACCAAACCACATTTGGTTTTAAAAACAACCAGTACCAAACAGGAGCAGAGAGTGTCAACATACCTAATGCTTTCATCGAATCAGTACATACACTGCCTTCATTATGTTATTTACAAGTAACACAGAAGAAGAAGAAGTTCTTCCTGTCTCAGTCCACTGAGTGTCTGTTTGCCCCATTTGGAACACCTGCAGCTAGCACATATTCCAGTTAGTACTTCTTTTAACACATGATCTACCAAGGAAACAAGGGGAGAGCAGGAACAGCTTAGCAAGCAGCTGCTGGCAGAGAATGAAAGGTTTCATGCAGCGTGAATCAAGGATTACAGTGTGAGGTTGGCAGCTGATACAAAGTTTGGAAGCAAGAATCTGTTATTTTAAACCCTGAATTTTGAAACTTGTTTGTATAACCTAGGTAGTGAATTTTAGTTACTTGTAGTTAGGTCAGATATTGCAGAGATTTAGATGAAAAAGAAGAAGAAAAGCAGGTGTTCCAAGTGCAAAGCAAAAGGAGGGTCACTGTTAAGATAATTTGGTTTTTAAGAAGACATTGCAGAGGTCAATGGAATCAACAGGTATAAAATTAGTCTTATGAGCGAAAATGTGTTATTATTGTGTTTGATACTTAAACACTATGGCCATTAAACCATTATAGACTGAACTCAGACCCTCAAGCTTGTTTCAGATTACCAGATTCGTGTCATTAGATGCCTCAGAGAAAATGGAAACACTTTGAGCTACTTTTACTATATTATCTGTTCAATTTATTTTATTGATCTGTGTAATTTATCTATATTTCTTTTTTAACACATTATCTCTCAGCTCTAATTCAGCACATTGATGAATAATTAAATTCAAATTAAGGTAAACCAAATTCTTAAATAATAACACAGGCCATTAGAATCTATTGTCAAACAAAAATCCTTCTAACGTCCCCAAAGCAAAATTAGTGCAATCTTTATGCATGGGGAGATGGGGTAGAGCGGGGATAGAAATTAATTCAGAGCAAATTAATCTGTAGTTCATTAGCAAACACTAATGTTGCTTTTGGGAATGAGGAAATTAGCAGGATTATAATTATAAGCAACAAGTGTCTTCATAAACATCTAATTGCTTGTCAAGGATGTACAATACACTATATAAGGCCATTAGGTAGGATTGATGCATGCCATAAATCAAGTTTTCAGTTCTGCAACAGATTGTGTTTATAAACTAATACCATTTCTGAGGAGTTATTACAGTGACCAAAGCAATTTCACAGGTGTCAGCCTGGTGAATTGTAATAAGAAATTAATTAAAGTACAGTTTCTTTCTTTGTCTTTATAGATTAGGTATCCTACCTACAACTATAGCCAGACAGTGCTATCAGCTGAGTCCTCTAGTAATGACAGTAAACCAGCATTAGACACTGAAGGAAGAGGTTCAAAGAGATCAGGGTGTCTGGTCTCTGTCGGGGTTTGTGTGTGTTCACGCAAATGCAAGCAGTGATGTGAAAGAGGAAGAGAGGCAAACAAGTTGCTAGTAAGTCACTTTAGTTGTAGCAAAGACATTGGCTGCCAGGGGAATCAACTAAGATATTGTCTCCTGTGGGGGCTTGTTAGGTTGTACAGCAGACATCCTGCAAGAACCTTGAATAATAAAGAAGCCTGGCAGGCAGAAATCATTATGGTACCTGTGGCTGCTCTAACCAGACTCTTCTAGCAGGGTCATTTGATGGGATCCTATAAAGAGCATGAAAGGGATTTAGAAAAGCTATGTTGCCTAGAAACTGACTGAGCCTCTTTACAGGGGAAAAATTTCTAAACTCAAAACTCTTCAAAGCCTTTTCTGTTTTTAGTATCTTACAGACTGTGTTTTGGATTCTGATTCCAAAGAATTTTGTGGATGCTGAAGGAGATCAGTTGTTTGTAAAACTTGCCTGATACAAATTTCATGAATGTAAAATCCTTTGATTCTAGAAAAGCTTGAAAGAGAAACATTTCTACATGCATTTTATGGCTGTTCTAAATTTGATTTGTACTTTCTACCTCGTTTTTATAATTTGTCAGTTTAAAGGCCTGCATCAATGATTCAGACATTTACAAGGTGACAGCAGTGACATGCAAACACACAAAGAGATTCATTTCTGCAGCTGTATAGATCTAGAATAATGACTACTGCGTTTCTTATAAATGTGATCTTGACAAAATTCTCAGACAACAATAAATATAAAATATCATGCCTTTAAAAACATAGAGACATAAAGAACACATTGAAATTACGTCTAAAATTTAAATATTTAGATATTATTTACTGCTTTTAAAAAAAATTATATTTGTAGGGATTAAAGAGGATGGGAACACAAAAATAGCAAGGGTGAATTACCTTCTCAAGGTTTAGCTTTCAGTGTTATTGAGTTAGTTCCTGAAATATTCTCAGGCAAAGTTCTTGTTTTACCCAACTAAGGGCTAAGCAGGGATGGAGAAATTTCTGTTTTGGTGAGCTGAGCTGAAGTGGGAAGTAAAGACATCTCAGCAGTAATCAACTCTTTCTAAATGTAAATTATATAAGTAGATGTTACAAAAGGGAGATTAAGCCAACCCCAGTGAAAGAGCACTGTTTTTCTCCAGTATCCTCTGAAATCATGCACTTAAACATATATATTCTATGTAGAGTAAAGGGCAATTTGTGTATGGCAGCTGGGAAATTCTCACGCATCCTCAACATGCAAATTTCATATACAGTAAAATTCATTCTGTTTCCCTTTTCTTTCAAGGAAATGAATTTGTAAGGTCTGATAAGACATTCAGACCGTGAAGGTAAGTTACACAGACAACAGAGATTTGTGTGTTGGAATAAAAATATATAGACATAATAATATCTGCCAAGATATATTGTTAAATAACAGCGTTTCATAAAACTCCAATACTCATATAGACCATGATAATGTTGGGTTCAAAATCCTCTGGATACATTAAGGGTGAAAAGACCTTGAAGCACATCTTCTTCGAGAGGTATTTTATTTTATTGGCATTTGTAACTGAATCACCTTAAGACTATCTGGAGATCTTGTTATTTAAAGGAAGTTATTTGTTTGTAGCTTTAATACACTTTATACATCATCACTTTTTCCCTACAGATTGATCTTATTTGAACCAGATATTATGACTTTTGCAAGGTCATTCAAGTTCTTACAGATACTTTCACCAGAATAAGCAACTTGAGGTTGAGTCCAGAAGCATTCCTAAGCAATGAAAACGTTTCCTTCACCAAAATTTTCTGTCATAGCTCTCTATGTTTATATTTTGTATGGTAGGATTTCTCTCTTTTAAACTCAAAAAAACATATTACTTTGCTGGCTGTCGTGGTTTGTGCATGGATGAGAGAAAAATACATCTGATGCTTTGTAAATAACAGAAATGAAGTTAATTTATAAGACTGAGAGAATTTCCAAGTTCCAGCTTAACTCTTGAAGTTGCCTGACAGATTCTTCTTTAGTTGCCTGAAATATTAGTTTGATGAAACAAAACATTTCACTACTTTAGAACCTAATTGTGTTTTTCTTTGAGAAGAGTGAGTTAATTATCTCAATAATAATTCACTTCAAAAATTAATTGCCAGAGAAGATATTTAAATATCTATTATTTGATCAAGTACACACACAGTTTTTACCCTGTCTGTCTGAAAATGAGTTTAACAACAAAACTAATCTGGATTCCTAGTTTGATGCCATTTCATTGTGAAAACTGTAGCACACTAAAATCAGTGAACACATCAGCCCTTCCTCATGGTCTACTAATGTAGGTTCAAACACAAGTATTTATTTTAAAAAATCTTATAGAGAAATCATGTCCCACAAGCTAATATGTTAGAAAGAGACAGAAATTATGTTATTAAAAAGCTTTTAATATACAACTGAATATGAAAAAAAATTCCTGTTTTATTTTTGCATGTACTGTGATTGTGTATGACATTTGGATAATTATCCATAGAAAGGACATAAGGGGAAACCTGTTTATACAAATTATATGTCAACAGAGATGAAGTTAAGCCCAATTTTCATGAAATACTGAACAATACTCCGGCTCAAAAAATTGAAGATTGTTTTTGGTTTGGATAATTATTTTATATTTTGATTTCCCATGAGAAAAAATGTCTCTGTGACTTGTTTCTTTTCATTCACAGTTTGTATTACAATGCTAAATATTTATCAAAAATAAATAGTAAAAACCTATTTGTGATTTTGCCAAAATATGTTATTGGTTGCTAATTACTTTGTAATAGAATGAAATTGCAATTTCCATTTCTTGTTTAGAATACTCAATAATATATTGCACAAAACCAAAGAAATTTGCCCTATTGCAAGTTTAGGAACATCAGGAAAAGTTTGTGTAAGCCCTTTCAGTCTGTTCAGAAAAATAGTTACAGGGTAAAAAGAATAGGAATGGCAACACACTTAGCAGCAGAAGAAGTGGTTTAGGTATCTTACATTGCTTATCAAATTTTGATAGTACAGTAGTATTATATAGTAGTATGATGACCTGAAAGTGGTCCATTTGCTATGCATAGCTTAGGAAGTTCCCTAAAGGACAACTCACATTAAAATGTGTGTCAGTGCATCAAATCACAGAAATAGAAATATCACTCTAGAATAAAGGACATTTAAAAATCACCCTTAGAATGCTGAGATGTCAGAAGCCAGCTGTTTCAAAATGGCCTTTATATAAAAGTACCTGCAGTGCTTACTTCTCAAATTGTGAGTTATAGAGATATTTCTGCTGACCATATTCTCGTATAACCTCAGAATGTTATAACCTCAGATATTTTTGCCATGCTCTCCAAGTAGGGTAAACTACTTTGATTTGGAGATATTTTTGCTGTATGACAGACTGAAAGATATTCCCTTTCCCAGTTTCAAGCATGTGAAAAAAGTCACTAAATATCACACTGCTCTAGACTTGTTCTGCTTGACCAAGGGAGTACTGCAGAGGAGAAAAAAAGATAAAGATTCAGGCTGGAAAAGTAGAACACATAACACTCTTTACAAGTAGCCCCTGTGGCTAATAACATTGCTATTAGATACAGGTCACTTACTCAGAGGGAATATGTTCATTCAGGCAGTCAGCTGAATCAGACTGCAACTCTAGGGGAAAGAGTACTGCAA